AACAGCTTCGGACAAGATTGGCCGCTCGGTTCCCGCCCCCGGCCAAGGTGTCCTCACCACAGCCCGCGAGCATCCCGGCAAGTTCCCATCGCCGTTGCTGGACATGAAGTACAGGCGCCGACAGATAGAGCGTCGCACGAAGCAGATCCAAGAGGACAAGGAGGCCGAGCTGCAGTACCTTGCTAGCGAGGCCGACGCGCTCAAGTCGGATGGTCGGTCGCAGGCCGAGATTGCCGAGTACATCGCTGATCGGGCGAGACACACGGAGAAGGAGGCCGGGAGGCAAACCAAGGAGATTCTCCGCAGCTTCGGCAACAACTTCTGGAAGAGCGACCCCAGCATCGCTCCCCTGCGCGGAGCCCTCGCTACGTGGGGCCTCACTGTCGACGACCTCGACGTCGCATCCTTCCACGGAACATCGACAAAGGCCAACGACAAGAACGAGTCCTCGGTTATTTGCCAGCAAATGGCCCACCTCGGCCGCAAGAAGGGCAACGCGGTGCTTGGTATATTCCAGAAGTACCTGACAGGTCACCCCAAGGGTGCTGCTGGTGCCTGGATGATGAACGGCTGCCTGCAAGTGCTCAACACAGGTCTCGTGCCGGGCAACCGCAACGCGGACAACGTCGATCAGATCATGGAGCAGTATGACTACATTGTCTACCCAAGCCACGCCATCCAGACGGATGGTGTCAAGGCCTTCTCCGTCACTTCTTTCGGTTTTGGTCAGAAGGGTGCCCAGGCTATCGGTGTGCACCCCAAGTACCTGTATGCCACTCTCGATGAGCAGGCCTTCAACGCATACCGCACCAAGGTCGAGGCTCGGCAAAAGAAGGCGTACCGGTTCTTCCATAACGGCTTGATCAACAACACGCTATTCGTGGCCAAGGATCACTCGCCGTACACGGATGAGCAGCTGAGCTCGGTGCTCCTGAACCCGGATGCCCGTGTGACAGAGGACAAGAAGACGGGAGCGCTCACCTTCCCGACCAACTTCATGAAGCTCTCGGAGAAGAATGGAACGCCGTCGGAGAACAAGGAGACGCTAGTATCCGTGCTGAGCCGTGAGGCGCGGAAGCTGGAGAGCACGAACACGCGGGTGGGCTTCGACGTGGAGGAGATTGTGTCGATCAACACCGACAACGATAGCTTCCTCGAGCGCAACTTCACCGAGGGTGAGCTCAAGTACTGCATGGCTTCGGGCACAGGGCGGTCACCGCAAAAGTCGTTTGCGGGCAGGTGGAGCGCCAAGGAGGCCGTCTTCAAGTCGCTGGGGGTGCAGAGCAAGGGAGCTGGCGCGGCGCTGAAGGACATTGAGATCCTGTCTGATAAGAATGGCAGCCCCACCGTCAAGGTTAGTTGCGCCTCATGATACATGTTTGTCTGCTACACGTACTAACCGCCACAGCTCCACGGAAACGCATTGGCGGCGGCCAAGAAGGCAGGGATCAAGAACGTGAGCGTGTCGATTTCGTACACAGACAGCCACGCTGCGTCGATTGCGACAGCTCAGTTATGAGACGATGATGCTTGTGTGAAGAGATGTTTTTAATAGTTGGGATAGGTGCGCGCGGATGTACATGATGTTTAGAGAAGTGGCGATACTTGAGGAGTCCGCATAGAGCGGCCAAGTAGATGAGGTAGAAAGCAGCATCTTAGAGCTTGTGTTACTGTTTGATACAATTGGACAGGGTGAAGTCGTAAACAAAGCAAAAATAGCAGTGCAGTGCAAACGGAGGTCGGCGTTCCCTTATCAATGCGCTCAAGATGCCCCAGATAGGAGATTCGGATCGTGGGCGACGCAGACCAATCCGGGCCGCGATGTGTTTCTTAGCCTCGCTTTGGACATGCACGCCGTGTAGTCAGCTGGCGGGAGCCAATCATGGGCTGGGACCCGGAGTGGGAGGGAGGGGCAGTGGCTGAAGGGGGGCCATCGGGCAGCTGCCCGTGCCGTCCCTTGCGCACGCGGGCGGGTGCCGGCGCTGGCCGCGAGACCCACCCGGCGGCACACGCCCACAGTCGCAAGTCGCAATCTTGGACCGAAGCAAGCTGGAGCTTCCCTTGACAGCTAGCAGCAGCGCAGCACCAGCAAGCTAGCATCTGAGCACCGTAGATAAAGCCACCTTCTCCACATCACCCTCTCCGCACTTGTAACCATAACCCCATTTGTCGAATTCAACTTGTGTTTTTACTCGGGCAGTTGCAGCGGCACAGAAGCAAAAGGCAAAAATAAAGGCATACATACACTCATACATGCACTCGACACACATCCAGCCCCCCGCGTGCGAAGACCCATCCCGACTGACCGAGTGGCCGGGACGACGACATACTACCGGCAACCCGTGAGAAACAAGGCAATATGGCGGCGCCAGCAAAGAACAAGATATTTTGGGGCTCGCTTGTCCACAGCAAGACGCTCGACGAGCTCGAGTACCTGCACGACACGGCCGTGGCTGTCGATGCGGCCGGCAAGATGGTCGCCATCGAGCAGGGCGCCGGCGATGTCGCCAAGGCCGTCGAGACGTTGCTTCCTAGGCTGGGCTGGGCCGAGGCCGACGTGGATGTCGTCAAGGCGAAGGACGGCCAGTTTTTCTTTCCGGGCTTTATTGACACGCACCTGCACGCCTCGCAGTACCCCAACGTGGGCATCTTCGGCAACTCGACGCTGCTGGACTGGCTCAACACCTACACCTTCCCGCTGGAGGCGTCCCTCTCGGACCCGGCCAAGGCCCGCAAGGTGTACAACCGCGTGATTCGCAAGACGCTGTCGCACGGCACCACCTGCGCCGCGTACTACGCCACCGTCGACGTGGCCTCGACCAACCTGCTGGCCGACCTGTGCCTAGCCGCCGGCCAGCGCGCCCTCATCGGCCGCGTGTGCATGGACCAGCTGTCGCCGGCCTACTACCGCGACGAGAGCCCGGCCGCCGCCCTGGCCGCCACGCGCGCGAGCATCGCCTACATCGAGTCGGTCGACCCGGGCATGAAGCTGGTGCGGCCGTGCCTGACCCCGCGCTTCGCCCCGTCCTGCTCGGGTCCGCTGATGCGCGGCCTGGGCGCCCTCGCCGCCGAGCGCCCGGACCTGCCCATCCAGACGCACATCAGCGAGAACAAGAACGAGATCGCGCTGGTGCACGAGCTCTTCCCGCCCTCGTCCACGGGCGCCGCCGACGACTCGTACGCGTCCGTCTACGACGCCTTCGGCCTGCTCACCGACCGCACCATCCTCGCGCACGCCGTGCACCTCGGCGAGGCCGAGGCCGACCTCATCGCCACCCGCGGCGCCAAGGTGTCGCACTGCCCCTGCAGCAACAGCGCCATCACCAGCGGCGCCGCCCGCATCCGCTGGCTGCTCGACAAGGGCGTCTGCTGCGGCCTGGGCACCGACATGAGCGGCGGCTACAGCCCCAGCGTGCTCGAGGCCGCGCGGCTCGCGGCGCTCGTCAGCCGGCACGTGGCCATGGGCGGCGACGAGCACGCCAAGCTGACGGTCGAGGAGGTACTGTTCCTGGCGACCAAGGGCGGCGCCGAGGTCGTGGGCCTGCAGCGCGAGGTGGGCGGGTTCGCGGTGGGTATGGATTGGGACGTGCAGCTGGTCGGGCTGGGCACCGTCGATGCCGAGGGCGGGGTCGAGGGCGTCGCCGAGGGCACGGAGGAGGATGGGAACGTGGATGTCTTTGGCTGGGAGAGCTGGCCTGACCGCGTGGCCAAGTGGGTGTACAACGGAGACGACCGGAATACCAAGAAGGTCTGGGTCAGGGGGCGCTTGGTGCATGAGCGGATTCACAGCTAGGGATTAGGGACTGTGATGGGGGTAGGGTGATAGACGGGTTTTCAGCTACAACAGTTCTTTTTCGGGGTGTGAGGGTGGTGTTTGAAACTGAATGATGTGACGGAGTTTGAAATTGGGATCTCACTGTTTCAAGGGTACGCCAGCAAGCTTGTGATATCCCACCAAAGTCTTCGCCTAGCCAAGTTGGGTTTAGGGGATCGACTCGGAGTCACGGTGGTGACTGGAAGTAACATGAATGATGAAATGACCAACATGAAAAAAAGATGAAAAAAAAAAAACATCCGTAGGTTAAAGTTGATGATGCCAGTTACCTTGATTTCAAGTTCAGCTAGGTTGCCAACATAAGTACCAGAATCCTACTAGTAAAGATAGCAATTCTACTACTAAAGATAACAATTAAACAATGCCCTAATCCTTCCTCGCACCCGCTACTTGTAGCACTGTAGCATGAAAAAAAGCACAAAGTCCAGGGCACGGCACGGCAAGGCACGGCGCGGCACCGGTCCCGTCTCAACCCTCCGATCTCCGCCGCTAATTCCTACCGATAACTCCACGAATCCCAGCAAAAACCAGGAACGGACTTTGCTCTGGCCGCCAATTAGATAGTGTCGGATTTAGACACAGAGCTAGCATTAACCTCCGTCGGCATGTTCACCAGGGATCTAGGAGTCAGGTAACAGCCGAAAATCGGAATACTAAAAACGGTCACCACGCCTCCGTTTTGCCTTCAACTATCAACCCAGCATGAAAGAAAAAAAGAAAAAAATCACCATGGAATGGCTGCCGATGTGGCACCGCGCTCCATGCCGAACTCGCCACTTCCGCCGACCCGACCCGGCACAAGGAGCCGTGGAGCCCTAACCCTTGCCCGGCGCCGGGGCCGCCTCCAACCGGGCCGATAGGGGCAGTGCGGGTTGAGATAAGACAAGGTAGTACCTAGCAATGATGCAAAAAGGGGTACCTAGGTAGCTTAGTAATTGCGGTATAATGGACGTGTCGTGCCTTGGCTGTGTGACTCAGTGACTGGTAACGGGGAAAAAAGTGATAGCGGGTACACTTCCCTTACGAGTAGTAGCACAGCGTGAAGAAGGGCTAAGCGAGTTGGGGACAGAGACGATGTGACGCTGAGGGTCTAGGCTTTGAGTCGTTATCCCCCCCTCCCAAGGGCAACAAAACTCCAAAAAGGAAAACACCCTCTCCTCGAGACCTTTCCCGCCGGGAATTGAACCCGGGTCCCGAGCGGTGTCCTTGTCTTCCCTCGTGAAGAGGAGAGACCATGATGACAAGCTCATATACTGACCACTATACTACGGAAGACTGGCAGACGTTTGACCGTTTTGCTGTAGGTTTGTGGGTTGTTGCGTAACGCTGGGAGGGGCACTTCGTACCGCTGCACCACCGCCGCCGGCGCTTTGGTAATTGGTGAAGAGCATTCAGGTGGGTAATTAGCCCTCTTCCATGGCCACACGCTCTCTCCGCTGCAGGTTGCAGCTATGAAAGTGGAGAGAGACATCTGCAGGTGGGGGCCGGAATCTAGCTGCCTAATTCCCCTATCAGCAGCCCTCTCTCCGATCAGGGGCCGCCTTTTTGTTGGTCTGAGGGTGTGCAGTTGTCGATGCACGTTAGTTCATGGTTGACTTAGGCAGTCGTTTAAGGAATCCATTGCGCAACTCACCTCGCGGGGTTGCCAGTGGGAGCTGCGGGGAGATGATGTGACAAACAACGCAGTTTTCTCTGTCTTGGCGCAGTCTGTCGTGAAGCTGTGAGGTGTGAGGTGTGAGGTGAGAGAGGTGAGAGGTGAGAGTAAAAAAATGCACTTTGAATTCCCATGCCCAGCCAATGGCTCCTGGCCAGACTCTGCTCCTAGGAGCACCCTGCGTAGTATAGATAGTGAAACGAATGATTTGTCGAATGCGACCGACCAACCTTGACCTCCCAGCACCCAGCCCGAGCCCGCCGAGTCCCGAAAGAAACAAAATCGAAAACAAAAGATTAAAAATAACAACCAATGCCCTCTATCCCCCTCCCCCAAACCACACCAAATCCTGTCAAAATGCACAATGCCCATTGGTACATGTTGGTATCCAACGCCAGTTTCCAATCCGAGTCCCCTTTTCCAAAGCCCAAGCCTAAATCCGAGGCCGAGTCCCAATCCCACGTTCCCAGTTTTAATATGCTAACCGTGCCAAGTTCATGTCGTCGTCAATATCGTTTGCAAATCTGAAAAGTAAACCTCCGTCTCTATAGGTTCATGTGTTCTGTGTCTCCGCGGTTTGATATTAGTAAGAATCAGCGCCCGATGCCCCCCCCAACAAATTAGTATCCGGACCTTTGATTCTGCCGCTCCTGTTTCGCTCCGTGGGTTGGGCCGCCCGACCTAATCCTGGCATCTCCTAGGTCGGCGTAATGACGTCGTCCCGAACGACATCATAGTACGCCCTCCCCGGCGGGCTCAGTACGTATACTGGGCGGAGGGTTGGACGTCTGCTTGCGGTGAATGCGGGCTTGTTAGCGTGCTTGTGGGGAGGGGCGGAACTTCTGGCGATGTCTCACACGAATGATAGTGCGACGGTTCAGGCGACGGCGTGTCGAATTTCAGGTCCTCGATGGGTTCTTTACGGGGTGTTAGTTAAGACAATTGAAAATTTTGACACCAGCCGGTGCCGTTGGTCCCGGTGATTACTCACCCTGACCATACAGCTGGTCCTCGGGTTTGATCATGCCCTTCTTGAGCGCCCGCTTCTCGAATCGTGTGATGTCCTTGGGGTCGACGGTGCGCCCGCGGAGCGTGAAGCGCGTCTGCTTGGGCGGGTTCTCACTCTCTCGCTGCCTCTTCGTCTTGATCATGGCCATGTACTCGGACGCCTTGATGTACTTTGTGTCGAGATTCCACTTCTTGAGCTGCGTTTTGTACTGCTTCTCACTTTTTGGTGGGGGGGGGGGAGGGGGGGCCGATAGTCTCAGTCGATGCTGGGATGCTTAGGGGGGGTCTACTGTCAGGGGAACACTCACGTCGCCTTGAAGTGGTGGATCATCTGCATTTCCAACATGACATCCTTGAGCTTCATGGTAGTGTAGAGCTGGGCAATGATGTCGCGGTACGGCTCCCAGTCCTCGGCCTTGGTCGGGCGGTACATGGAGGACTCTTGGGACCGGTGCTGAGCCGGACGAGGCATGTAGTAGTCAGCCATGGTGGGCTTCTTGGGCTCGTGAGAGAGCAGGCTGGTGGTATGGGGGCAAGTATGGGCACAATGGATGAGCGCGCCTATGAAATTTCGGTCTTCAGAACACAGTGCTATGCGAAATGGGGCTCCCGTGGTTGCGATGTGCGCCGGACGGTCTGGATATAAGATGGGACGTGTTCGTTGCGTGCCAGGGGAATGTAACACCAGCTGGAGGAGTCGCAGTGCGGGAGGCTCCCGAAGCTTTAAATCGGTTCCATGATCGCGGCCGCTCGAAACGGCGCCACACAGCGACCGACCGACGGGTGAGAGTGATGTGACAGATGGGGGACAGCAATGGGGGGAGAGAAGGCTACATCAGTTCTCAGATTCTTGCAGAGCACGCGTGGATCCATCCCACCATGGCCATGTAGTGAGTACTCTCGGAAGGGCCGTTTGGCCCCGTTTTGCCCGCCGCCGTCGCCATGCAAGGGCGTCCAGGGTGTCTCGGCGTGGTCCAAGATGGCCAGGACGGCCCGGGGTGTCGAGAGAGCCAGAGGAGGGGGTAGCAGTAGGGGCAGTAGGGGCGCCATGGGCAGCATGGGCAGCGTATTTCGCGTTCCCTCCCCTCTCTGTCCCCCAGCGAGGCACTAGAGCAAGTGCTGTGCAGCAGTCGCAGGTGCGCTGCAGGCCTGGCAACCCGTCGCCTGGGTCGTGTATACCTGCAGGGTCGTGGGATTGGTTGTGTGTGCGGAGGCCTGGCGCGACACAAGTTCCATGCGCTGAAGGGTCGAGAGATGAGAGCGAGCTTGCGAGCTCGTGAGCCTACGGCTTTTTGGGATGCGTTTTTTTTTTTGGGGTGCGTTTTGGCGTGCGTTTGGTGTGCCATAGCCGGTTGCGTGGTGAGATAAGCCTCAGATAGAGCTTCCGTCGGCCAAGGCACAGGGCCTCGAGGGCGGACAACGGGCAGCAGGCACAGGGCACAGGCGGCGAGGGGCCACTAGCAGTGGAGCGCTGCTTCTCCGCCGCGACTGACTGGGCAGGCGCAGTTCCAGCGAGGCAACTTTCCCGGTTTCGGCGGCTGGGGCTCGCGATTCGCGATACGGCAGGTGCACCCAGTCGGGCACGGCATGGAAGCACAGAATAGAATAGTAGCACAGAACTTGGAGACGCAGAATAAATATCCTGCAATATTTTGTTGACCTTGGAAGCCTGCCGCCACACCTGGGGCTAGGCAGTACCTCCCTGAACTTGCGGCAGCTCGCGACACCGGCAGCTCGCGACACCAGCAGCCAGCACTGGACTGTGTCGTTGCGATTCCGCACCGGGACGGAGAGAACTTTGCAGAGGTTGAGCGCAACTGCCATGGATGAGGAGGGACGGGGATGCAGGGGACTTTTCAACTGGGACTTCCAAGGACTGGGGAGCGTCTGTGTCCAACCAGCTGTCAAAGCTGTCAAAGCTGTCTCGTACCGCCTGTCCCCTGCCGGCCAGCAGCGGTGCAAGGTACGGGCGACGACTTTCCCTGCTGAGGTTCCGTTGGGCTTGTTAGTAGGCGCACACGGTCCCGTGCGTTCGGTCGGCCCTGGCTTCTGCTCTTTCCAATCTGGCCACCAGGGCTGCCCAGAGATGCCGTGGCGCTGAGCGTGAGCTGGCACGCGGCCACGCGCGAAACGGTGCTAAAAAATCACCTGGGCATTTGCCCTGGGCATGCGACATTCAGGACCCGATCGGAAGGGTGCAATCGCTCGCCTTCTTGGCGCCGCCCGACCTGCCATACTGCTAAGAAAAGCAGAAGCGGTCCCCCTCCAGCCAGCGACAGCCTTCGACCCGCCAGCAACATCATCGTCCGTTTCTTTTTTCGTCCAAAACCGGGCCCGCCCCAGTCCTCTTAATAAGGCCCCCCCGGCCGAGACACATCCACATTGCACATACCGCCATACCGCCATACCTGGAACCTGCCAAACGGTGCAACGGGTGCCATGGCAATTGAGCATGCCGGACACCTGGTCACCTTACACACGACTCCCGCAACCCAGCGTCCGAGGGAAATGACGCAACTGCCCGCTCCTCCGCGTCCTCGGCTGGACTCTAAGGCGCCAACGAATAGTGCAATGTGCCAGAATGGGCACGCGAGGGCACAGCAGGGCACAACAGGGCACCCTTCTTGCTACCCAACTTGGCCATCTGGAGCGCTTCGTCTCCCCTTCTGCCTCCCCCACCGTGCCTGGGCCACAAGCACACGGGCACAAGGGCACACGACTGAGCCGCAACAGCATCACAACATCGCAGCCTCCACTCCCCGTCGAACTGACACAAGACGTGGTTCTTCCCGGACCATGGCGCGCGGGCTGCGCCGTGGGCCCCGTTGCCGCCCACCTCACGAATCCGCGAGATGAGCGCCCACGAACCCACAACCCCAACCTCACGACCACACGAGCGGCCGCCGGGTGTTAGGCCATGGGCCATCAGCAATCCCCCGCGACTCGCAGCCCTTGGCTGAGTAAACAGAAACACCGCCACCAACGACGGGTCTCACCTCTGAAAAGGGCAGCTGAACCCCCGTCGAATTTCAGTGATAGTCAAGATGGTGTCGACACTACTGCGTCGATTGTGGATGCCATGGCGCATTATCTTTGTGGGATGCGTCTGGGCTAGTCTTGTTGGCCGCCGTGGAATTCGCCAGTTCGCCTTGCCCTTCCTCCTTCCCCTTCCCCCTGCCACCTTGGTCCTCGGCGCCCCCGATTGAGGAAGCTACTTTCAAGCCCAAGACCACGTCTCTTGTTTTGGGTAGCTAGCGGCGCAACAATAGCACCAACCGCTATATATAATGAACCTCCAAACATTTCCTCAATATCATCAATCAGCCTGGGGATCCACTGCCAAGGGCCGACACCGCACCACTGGACGGTTGGTGCTGCCTCTTCTTCTCCCTGCGTGTGGCTGGGGCGTCACATCACTGACACTTCAGTTTCGAGTATCTCTCGGTGTGCCAAACTCGACACCCAACGTCTCCAGCCAACCTAATAGCGCAACTCGCCAAAAGTGTGTGCCTTGCTTGTCATTATTCCCTTTCCACCACGCCTTGGCGTACCCACGGCCTCCTCCAGCCCTGGATATTTTGAATCATGCTGCTACCGAGCGAGCACTCACGACCCTTGCCTATCAGATCATCTACACGGACCAAGCGCCATAAACGGGGGCGGGAGATCGCCATGAGGTTAAAAGGGATGATGGGGTAAGAGCGGCAGCCAGAGCTCCACCGTCATCTCCGCTGCGAGGTCCCTGTGCCTCTTCCGCATCGGCCCAACGACCCGAGCAACAAAAGGTCCTTGCGGAGCGAGGCCAGACAAGGGATTGCCAAGAAATCAGCATCAAGCGAATCACGTTCGCACGCCGCTAGCCATGCACAGCTCTCTTGCCGGAGCCTCCGGGTTCAAAGGCAGCCGGTGACGTACCGGGGCGTTGTCCTATTTGCTGCGATGGTCGCGAAAAAAAATGCCACGAAGGTAGCACAGTGCGCCGTCGGGGTACATTATCCTCGGGAGGAGCACAGTCCTGTGCCGCAGGCCAGACCACAGGATCAAAGCCGCCAAATATCAGTTCTGTCACGCCACGATCCTCCACTGTTGCTTGGAGGCGCCCATCAACTCCTCCTGCGATTATCTATTGAATTGGAAGTCTATGCTATGGCCGCAGATCTTTGGTTGGGCTTGGGAGTCCTGCTGTCGAGATTGCCATTTGGCATCTCATTATTCTCATTGGGACACGCATAGTCTTATCGATCAGAGTGCCGCACCTCGAACGAGGCTGAACACAGCGCAAGGAATACGGACGAGGGCTTAGCGCAAGCCACCAGCCTCCGTTCAGCAGCTCGGAATCGATTTGATGGATCCCTTGGTAGCTCAAATTCTCACCAAAGAACCTCCCAAGCTATTCACCAATCACGAAACCAGAAAAAAAGGACCTAACATGACGACCTTCAGCCTTATACCTTACCTTTTTGAGATTTCTTGTGTTTTGATTTGATGGCCGAGACTGTGTAACAATGGCTGTGGCTGCTCACCGTAATGGCTTGGGAGAATAACCGAAAACATTTATTAGATCCGAGCCTCCTCGAGTCTTATATCTCGGTTGCTCACGACTCGGCTCGCGGCCGTTTCTCAGGGACTCGGGAGTTCACGTGGGAAGTCATCTCGACACCATTTGACGGAGACACGCACAGGCAACAGCCGAAACGTCAACCACAGCCAAACTCGCAACGCCGCAAAGGTGGTGCTAAATAAATTCATGGCATGAAACTTACAATGTGGCAGGAATCATCTCACTTACAACCCTTTGTGCAACACTCTCTCCTACTAACGCCTCCTCTCAGTCTCGGTCCACCCCAATACCGACAAACCGCTTCGACTTTGATCTCGCAAAATCACCTTCCCTCGATCCGAAATACGACCCGAAATATGACAAGTCGAGATCTTCCAGCGAACAACTGTAAAACAGCAACGCCTAAATCAGCCCAGGCGGCGCAAGCAAAGCGAAAGCAAGAACTACGCGCAAATTTACGGACCCATACAGCGATTGTCATTTGCGCGTCTTGGCAGTATTCCTTCGGGTTATAGTGCCACGTCGTGTCATCCTTTTGGAAACTACCTTACCTACAGCCAGGCACACTAGACAACAGAATGCGAGCTCCCCAGGCTTGTGCTGCCTAGCGTTTATTACCGACTCTGCGCTCGAGGCAAGACAGTGGCCCGATAAACCGGAAGCGGAAAAGCCCAGCATGCCGTTCGGCGCCAACGCGCACCCAGTCAAACGGTCGACGGGTTTGTGCCACAGAGCACAATCCGTACGCCGTCCAGTAGCAACCATACGCGTGTGCTCTTGACACCAGGCAGCCGCGGCACTACCCCCTCCCGCTCGCGGATATTGATTTCTCCCCACGGGAACCAAACAGGCCGAAATCTTGGGTCCATCCCGATCGCCCCCAACCCGTCCATTCACGACTCGCTATTCCGGTGACGATGGCGGCCAGCCATACCTAACGCGGCTCTGCGCCGCTTTGGAGCATACATCACCCGCCCGTCTGCTAACAATCACACCGAGTTCCGCTCCGCATCCCGTGGAGTTCCGCCAACGCACACCACAAGTGACTCGGGCCGCCCGCCTGAGTCGCAGTGCCTTGATCCGTGTTCGCTGTCGAGACCTTTTGCCATTGCTTCTCCCCCCCCCCCCCCGCGTACCCACCTCCTCGTCCCCTTTCCCCTTGTAGGAATGTGCGCGTGGGATGAGTGTTGGGGCAGCGGTGTGGAACTTGATTGGTTGCCGTCATGTACGGACTTTGTGTTTTTTGCCTGGGGTGCGACCGGAAGACCATGTGAGGTCCTTTTTTTCTGTGCATGATTTGTGACGGATCGCTCGTCCAGTGTACGTACCGGCCTCGAAGGTGCCGAGGTGAGGTGTGTCACGGTGCGCTGCTACCCATGCTACCCACTCCGTTAGGCAGCGGTGTCGCGGTGCTAGTGTTATTAGTGCTAGGTGAGTCGGCGGGCGCCGGGTGCAGTATCAGCTGAGGGGCGCTTTAGCGCCAAGCTGTTGATATCATGTTTGCTGTGCCTCTTTAAGGCTTATGTTGAGCCGATGATGTGAGGGGGGGGGAGCTGTGCCGGAGGAGTGAGGGGGCTAGATTGAAATTCCAAGTCGATTGTGTTCTCCTGGAATCAAATGACATGTCCTCAGTCTCCTCTCTGCCATTCACAGCAAGTGGGCCAGTATTGTTGAAACGGCTGGGATGAAACCCGACTCGCAGTTTGAACCTATATCCACCTATCTCCGTACGATAGAGGCATAAACCATAGACCTTGGGCCACGACGGATCCACAGGCTCCAAGCCAGCCACGCAGCAGCGCACAGCGTCTACACTTGAACCCGCAATGGCGCGCCCAACCCCGTGCGAAGACACGCAGTTATAGTATAGTGGGTAAATCTCATTGTGGTTGTCAACAAAAAATCTCTAAGACGATGCCTGTTCGATTCAGGCTATCTGCACAATTCTATTTTTGACCCAATTGAAAATTCACTGAATGAATGTAGTGAGTGTACGGTCTCTTTTTGTCTGTTGATTCCCCGGTTCGGGGGCCATGTGGTATGAACATGTGTGGTTGGTAGGGTACACTGTCAGGACTTGGGCACGCAGGTCCATTTCATGATTCATGGCGATCCGCTGGCTTGCAGATGGGAAATGCAACAGCGTTTCGTTTCTGTCCCCTTTTGACTGCCGAGAGGGTTAGGGGTTTTACCCGTGAGGGAATGAAGTGCCGTGTGCAGGTGGAAGATGAGAGTTGGGTACAATGCGAGGGTGCATAATCTTGCAGCAGATGAGACTGTAACGTGAGAAATTTCGTTTGTATCTTTCATCTAGTAGTTGGCGTATTCCGTTTTGTGCCGTTTTGTGACCCTAAAGCAAAGTTCCTTGCCGATGTCACGGTACTACCCCTGAAGGTAGATCATGCCTACGTCCATGGCTAAAGATCGGAATCTGGAGTGCAATGACACCAAAGTCTCTGTCAAATCAACTTGAGGCAAAAAAACAGGTAGCAAGTTGCTGGGCAAGCCGATAACCTTTCACAGCACTGATTGATTTTGAATCTTCCAGATAGTGAGCCTTGGGTACAGATTCCAAAAGTTGAGGTCATGCGTCAAGGCAGAACTAGTATGCCATCAATCAGACGACCTAACAAAAAAATTCCGACGCCGTCTTAGTCCGTAAAACTAATGATGGGGCTGCAGAGAAGTGGAACACCCTGTCAGGCCCCAAAGATCTGAATCATCATCATGGTCAACCTTGGTGACTGCATCCTCATATCACCTAGGCCCATACACCCCTCAAATATCTTACACCTATGGTGCCACGTCCGGTTCATCTGCTGTCCTCACCCGATTAGAGCTCCTTATGACCCTTCTCCTTGGCTTCCTCGGCCTTCTTCTTAGCAGCGTCGGCGCCAATGTTGAGCTGGCTCATAACCCAGTCCCAGCCTCCCTTCACGTTCTCTCCGATCTTAGCAAAGACAGTCTCAGATGGCGTGGAGGTGCCGTACTTGAAGTACGTGTACTGGCGGCGAGCAAGGGCGCGGAGCTCGTTGAGGGTAGATCCCTGAGGAACAGGCTTGAGTCTTATCAGCATGTCTGCAATCCAAGCAGGGTGGGAGGGGGAACTCACAATTCCGTAGCTGTCCAGGTACGACTTGAGCTCGCTCTCGCTCCAGGTGTCAAATGTGGCTGCCTTGACGCTGTCGGTGGCGCTGGCCAAGTAGCTGGTCGCTGAGGCGTATGAAGAGCCACCGGCGGAAGAACCGGATGCGTAGGCGGACTGAGCTGCCTTGACAAGATCCTCACGAGTAACACCAGCTTTGTCGGCAGCCTTTTGCGCAGCGGCGTTGCCACTTGAGGCAAGATACGCCTTAAGGTTGTCGTAGCTGAGATCGTCAAAGGTCCAGGCGGTCCAGCCAGAGGCAGCCTTGTGAGCGTTCTTGCGGACCAGCGCGCGAAGCTCATTGGTCTTGGAGCCTTGAGGAACAGGAACGCCACGAGCATCCAGATAAGCCTTCAAGCGAGTCTCGGACCAGGTGTCGATGACCTTGTTGAAAGCATCCTCAGCAGTCTGCCCTGCAGCATCGGTAGCCTTGGCGTATCCGGATCCAACATTCGAGGTAGCGGCGCCGAACGCTGACACAGCAGTGGCAGAGACGGTGTCGCCAAGGAGCTCGGCGCGGTGCTTGCGAACAAGAGCGCGGAGCTGGTTGACCTTGGTACCTTGGGGAACTATCTTGGTTAGCGCGTTTCATGGGGACGCCTGTCTGTGAAACCAACCTGAGATGCTGTTCTTGTCGCAGAATTCCTTGAGCTGAGATTCGCTCCACGAGTCAATAATCTTGTCAGTCAGGTAGTCGTAGGTAGCTTGAGCTTTGGATTTGGCTGCCTCTGATTGCTCTTGCATTCTCAGATAGGCAAGACGAGAGTTGCGACGAACCGAAGCAATGAGCTTGTCGCGCTGGAAGGTGTTAGTGTATGGGCAAAACAAGCATCATGGGGATTAATAAACGCACTGTTGTCGGCTGCGGCGCAGGAATGCCATGGGTATCAAGCCATTCCTTGAGATCAGACTCTACAGGATCGTTAGAACAAACATCGCAAATCGTGGGGGAAGGCCTACCAGTCCAAGACTCGTACAGCCAGTTGCCGGGATAGGCAGCAGTCCCGCCGGCCTTCTGAGCGACAGTCTCGTAGCTGCTTCGCGCCTTCTCAAGGAGGGTGTCGCGCTTGCGGGGTTGGGGAACTAAATAAGTCAGTTTCCGCTCACGCGACTCGTAAAGTAAACATACCGGGAATTCCGTTGCGGTCGCAGAACGCCTTGAGCTGGCTGTCGGTCCACGAATCGAGAATCCAATCCTTGACGTTGGTCCAGGCGCTCTGGGCCTTGTCTTCCGACTCGTACCAGGCACCCTGGACTTGGTTGATGAGTGCGTCCTTGCTAGCAGCGGCCGAGTCCTTGGTCTCAATGCCCTTGAGCTTGAGGTACTCGCTCAGCTTCTCGGTGTCCCAGTCCTTGTAGGGTGTGACGATATAGGTGTCCCAGTTGGCCTGGACTAGCTTCTCAAGGCTCTTGCGGTCGGCGGGGGTGGGATAGGGAACGTCATGGTCAGAAAGCCACCGCTCCAACTCGGTCTCATGCCACTTGTTATAGGCTGTTGGGGGCAAAGGTTAGCTACACCTTCAAAGCGCGCGAGATTGATGGTCACTATTGTGCGAGTTCTCACCAGCATTGGAAAACCAAGAGCTGCCCAAGACGACATTGGCCCCGAGAGCCAACGAGACGAGGGCCGTGGCGATCCTCATGGTTGGTGTGTGCGATGGCGGTTGTGTTGTGTTGCTGTCAATGTTGGGAGTCGAATGTTGTGGCGGTGGTTGCTGGAGGTTTGGCGTGGAAATTGGCTGAGGAAGAACCAAAGTTGGGGCGGAGAGGTTTTGTTCTCGTGGAGGGATATGACGATGTTTGGGAGCTAGAAGTGGTCAAGGCGGGCAGGCACAAGGGGGATGGAGGACGTCACTGCCGTCGATTGTCACCTCAAAGAGGCTCTCGCACCCCACTATGCCAGCTGCCAATACCAGCTTCTCCCAATTATTTACTTGGCACTTGTCTGGGCTCTGCTCCTAAGTTGCTGCCCTCAGCTGGCAGGAGCACGCAGGAGCTAGTGCTACGGGAGAGCACATGTTGATCGCCCTGGAAAGAAAGGTCCGCCATCTATGACGTAATTGCGCCGCCCCTGCCTCCAAGCCAGCAGCTATAGGTGCCACTTCCAGCAGTTTGATTGGCCCTAGCCTTGCTCTTAGAAAGGAGAACAGAAACATGTGCCATCATTCTTTGCTATTCCTTTGGATGACAGCATCATGGCAGAGGGGAGCTGCAGCTTCCCACACAGGCGATGACGTCACGTCATGTGTCCCAGGCCGCTGGAATCAACACCAAGCCACAACCACCGCGACAAAACCATTGAAATCTGGGGAAAGACTTCAGATGATGAATGAGGCGTGATCGCCTGTGCTACGTAGTGAGTCTATTCGCACCTCATTTTCTCGGGAATTTGGGCAAGTGCCGGAGCTGTGAGGTCGGTCAACAGCATCGTGTGCTTTTCCGCTGCAAAACTTGATAGAGTCTGCATCTACTTGTACAGACACTGGTCAAGACGCAAATGTCACTGGCGGGCTTATTACTCAAAGATCATTATTGTTATTTTTGTGGTCAAAAGCTCAAAGGACAAGACAGACTTTCATCCGAAACAACAGATTGGGCAGCGGGTTGCTATTCAGCAGCAAGCCCCGGTCCCGCGAAGCAACATATCAAGGTTCCTGCCGTCGGGTCCAACTGAGGATTCCCATGTACCCGTAGCAGACTGGAGCGCTTCTGAGATGCGCAGACAGAATTTCAAACTCGATACAGAGGCGTAAACACAAACTTTTCCTTCAGAGCCCAGGACACATTCCTTCCCTTGCAAAAAAATGGAATACAAATCAATCGTATTGGTCGGAGATAGAGCTCACCGACTTGCTAATCCAAGCTGCCCCAATCCCCAGCTGCAATCATCTCCAAGGCTCATAGACAGATGCTCATGGACAGATGCTCAAGAAACATCCAGAAACCCCTTGGGTCCCAAAAGATAAGGTAGCCAACCTGGAGGCAAAGGCACAATTAGATATGACTCGGGATGGTGCCCCAAGTCATGACTGCTGGAGTGCGATCGCAAGGGTCCTTTCCTGTAAGCATCGCAGCCATCATCAGCAACTCGATCCCAATTCTCAAGCAACGGATGAGGTAGGGTAGACTCACCAAACTCGCAAAACACACCGAACTCCTTAAACTCCCGCGCCAGTGCCATGCGCGCCGACTCGGCCTGGCAGCGATAGCTCCCAAACCGGAACTCAATGAGCGCCCTGTCCTCGCTCGTGGCCCAGGCCTGCGACGACGACGACGACGACGACGACACCTGCTGGACGCCACCCTGAGCCGTCGTCGCAAAAGGGCTCACACCGCTGCTGGTGAGGAAGGGCTTGCCGGGTGCGGCTCTCGCCGCCAGCGGGGCGGGAAATCCCTGGCCGATGACGCCCAAGGGCTGCTGCTGCTGCTTCTGCTTGTTGGTGGTGGTGCTGCCGCCGCCGCCGCGCAGCACGCGCACCTCGTCGACCTGGTACTGGATCTTGGACGAGAAGTAGGCGCGCAGCGCGCGCTCGTTGACGATGCCGGGCGGGCCGCTGATGAGCAGCACGCGCGACTTGCGCCCGCCGACGTCGAGCTCGGCGGACCGGATGCGGTTCCACACCACGCGGCCGACGTGCATCGGGTGCCCGCGCACCGCGAAGCCCGTGGCTGCGAAGCGGTGGTAGAAGCGTTCTGCAACATGAATCGTCAGCACCCAGACCCCTAACAAACGAAAACAGAACAAAACTCACCAGCAGCCCCCCGCTCGAAAAACACCACCTTGGCCGCGCACGTG